CTGCGCCGCGACTCCTACACAGGAGTGCAAGATTATTTGGCTGGAGATCATATCTCCAGACCACCGGGGAACCATGTCGTGTTGTCATCATCGCATCTGGGCAATCCACGACAAGCCTATCAGGACGCTATGGTTGTAGCACGCTACGGGAAACCAACCTATTTTCTCACGATGACATGTAACCCGCAGTGGAAGGAAATACGGGAAAACCTCTTCCAAGGCCAGACGCCATCAGATCGTCCTGATTTGGTGGCGCGTGTGTTTCACGCAAAACTGCAAGAGCTATGTGACGATCTTTTCAAGAAACATGTCCTAGGAGAGGTGGAAGCATATGTGCACGTCATCGAATTCCAAAAGCGTGGGTTACCGCACTGCCATATGCTTCTTATCATGAAAGAAGGTTGGAAAGTGCGCACGGCCGAAGATGTGGATAAAGCCATCTGCGCTGAGATCCCAAGCAGAGAAACCGAATCTGAGCTCTACTTCTGCGATGACATCGTATATGATTCATCGACAATGTGGACCTATGGATCCACGTTCACGATGGATCGCATGCGAGGCGGCTCATGCTCTAAGCAATTTCCGGAAACATTCAGCGCGCGATAGGACCTCTGTGGACATTGACGGTTAATTGTCGTCGGGCGCCTACTGGAACGGTGGAATTTCTTAGAGGAGTGAATGGTTCCAACGAACTTTTAGCCTCTTCTGCAATACAATTGCCACATTAACGCTGGAGTTTGCGGCACGATTTCTGCTGTCAAGTACCTTTATAAGTATATATATAAGGGTCCCGATCGTGCGCGTATCAGCATTGAAAGTGAAGGAAACGTGGACGCAAATGAGTATGTTTAAGTTGTAATTTGTTCTGCCAAAGAGGTTGGTAGGTGGAAGACTTTATTATAAATGGCCTGACGTTTCGACAGGATCGTCGTCCTCAGAGGCCAGTCCACCACCACATGAGCGGAACGATGCCACTCGCTGTTAGTTGTCAGTTAGTAATGAAGTAGTTAAATTAAAAGCAAATGAGTATGTTGACGAAATAAGGCAGCACTTAGTACTCGCTATATATGCGCCCCACAGAGCATTTATAGAATTTGCTTCAACATGCAGGACAGGTCGCACACTGTGTACAGGCTTAGCTGTACACCTGCCCGGATTTCAAACAGTTCACTTTGTTCACGGTCGAGAGCAACAATACCTTGAGTAGGCACAACACAGCAATCTTTTGCAACCCTTACAGCATTCTTCGAGCTGAGCAGGCGATGTAACCTGGTTTAAGAAAGCGGCCTGCTCCTGATTTCACGTTCGACGCTCGACGTGGATGGATGCCGAGGAGGCGTGGAGGAAAACAAATCGGTAGATGTTCACAGTCTCACCTTTAGAGACAGAGCGATATTGCCTGCGAATACTCCTGCTCAACTCTGAAAAGAAAACGCCCCCCTAGACGTGCGAACAGTCTGGCGGAACCTACGAGTCTTTCGCTGATGCAGCGAAAGCTGCTGGGTTCTTGGACGATGATAGGTACTTCCGGCAGAGTTTGCAAGGAAGCAGCTCATTACCAGTCTGCAGCAACGATGAGGAGTTTTTTTGCCTGTCTCATGTGCTTTTGTGAGGTACTACATGCTCAAGATTTGTGGGATGAGTTTGCTGATATGATAAGGGATGATTAGATCCGACAAAGTTTCGATCTATTTAGAACATCCTATCGCTTTCGCGTGTTTTGACGTTCTCGATCGGGTCGCT